GGGAAAGAGGCTGCAGAAAGGAAGCAATGGTAGGAGTATATATGAAACTCGGGGAAAGGAAGAAAAAGCCACAAACAGTTATTAAGAAACTTCAAGAGGAATAATGGCAGGACGGAGAGATCCAGTGAATGGTTCGAAGCCAGGATGAGAGTATGCAGAGAACTGACATCGAAGCGTGGCTGGCAGTGGGGGGGATTTCTCAGGAGTTCGTACCCCGTGCAAGAAACGAGGAGGAACAGGGCTGGCACTTGTGAGAAATGAAGGATTTAATCATGTGGCCTTCCTAAGGAGTCAAGGACTCGAACATCAGTGGCCAGAAAGCAAGAAATGAAGCAGAGATCTGGTGGGGTGGGACCTGCAGGAAATCCCCAGGAATCCCAGATCCGCTTTGCTCCGTCCGTGAGATGCACGGGAAGACAGGACTGTGAGAAGGACCTAAGCAGAAACCAGAACAGTTTCCGTTTCTTTACAAAGCACAAAGTTCTCTCCAACATGGGCATATTACTGATAAACCCACAACCAGTTCTCAGTTTGCGTTTGCTTATCGAATCTGTGAGAAAGGAAACACGCTTGCACCAAAGTCGGTCTTCACGACAGCTGCAAAATGCAGAAACATCCTAAGTTGATTTCCTATCCCCAGTTTCAAAGGAAATAAAGTGGATGCGGAGAACAACTGTCGGTCACTGCAAGCCGGGGCAGGACGGAGTGGTCAGACCCACATCGCTGCGTGTCCAGGGGCACCTGAAGGCTCCTCCGTCCTGCTCTGCTGCGTGGGACACTTGGGCTGGCCGTGCCAGGCAGAGCTGCCGGGGGGAAAATGGGGAGCATCCCTCAAAAACGTGTGCTAAGCGCTTTATTTTATCACTCTTCCTCCTCCAGTAGAAAGGATTTAATTCCAGCATGTATGAATTTCCTAAGTGCCCATGGCTGGACCAGACCTCACAGTGCAAGGTGTTATGGAGACACAGAAGGTAACAGAGACCGTGGAGGTTTCTAAAAGAGCTGCTTCCAAGCAGTAGGAGCTCCTGGGCCAGAAGGAGCTTGGCAGGGCAGTATGCTGTGAAACCAGCCTTCACAGAACCGTTCTGGGCAGATGTTGGCACAGAAAGAATAAAAATGACCAGCGTGACTGCCCGTGGGACTTCCCAAAGGCAGGGCTGGCAGGGAGCAATGAAAGAGGAAGGGCAACACGGCAAGCACAGAGACACGGGTGCAGAGAACGAGATTTAAAGACATAATAAACTCAGCCAAGGACAGGTATGGAGGATGGGAAGTCACACCAAGCCCTCCCTAACCAGAGGGATGCAGGAGGACACGCATTTCTCCTCCCGCCCCGCAGCGGGTGGCTGTCCTAGTCCTCCCCACTGGGCAGAGCTCTGAGCCCACATGCTATTTGGAGAACAGCCCATGGAAACTCCAAACAGATGATTTCAAGGTGACAAAGCAGCAGCTGATGTTTCTCGAGCCCACGTGGCTCAGCAGGATGTGCCCCCACCCTTCCCGATCCGCTGCCTGGGTTTGTGCCATCCTCCTGATGGACTTCATGAGAAGGAATTCATGTTCTTGTTGCGATGATCTGGGTTTTGTTTGCACTTTGAGACAAAAGAGGGGGTAAAGTGCTCTAGTAGGGGTCTAAAGTCACATTATGACCTTGTGTGAGTCACAGCTGAAAGGAAAGCTGCTGAGCTTGACATTTCTGTCTTCTACCCCACTTGACGTGGAAAATCCCCTCCAAACACACAACTTGTGAAGCCAATGGCATGGGAGAATCATAGACTCATGGAATCATTCAGGTTGGAAAAGACTCTTAAGATCATCAAGTCCAACCATAAACCTAACACCGCTAAGTCCACCACTAAACCATGTCCCTAAGAGCCACAACTCAATGTCTTTTAAATACCTCCAGGGACGGGGACTCCTCCACTTCCCTGGGCTGCCTGTTCCAGGGCTTGGTAATCCTTTTGGTGAAGAAATTTTTCCTGATACCCAATCTAAATCTCCCCTGACGCAACGTGAGGCCACTGCCTCTCATGCTATCACTGGTTACGTGGGAGAAGATCCTGACCCCACCTCACTACAATGTCCTCCTTTCAGGTAGCTGTGGAGAGCAATAAGGTCCCCCTCAGCCTCCTCTTCTCCAGACTAAACAGCCCCAGCTCCCTCAGCTGCTCCTCACAGGACTTGTTCTCCAGACCCTCCCCAGCCTCATTGCCTTTCTCTGGACACGCTCCAGCACCTCAATGTCCTTCTTGGAACGAGGGGCCCAAAGCTGAACACAGCACTCCAGGTGCGGCCTCACCAGTGCCGAGTACAGGGGCTTGATCACCTCCCTGCTCCTGCTGGCCACACCATTTCTGATACAAGCCAGGTTACCATTGGCCTTCTTGGCCGCCTGGGCACACTGCTGGCTCATGTTCAGCCGGCTGTCAGCCGACACCCCAATGTCCTTTTCTGCTGGGCAGCTTTCCAGTCACTTCTCCCCCAGCCTGCAGCGTTGCCTGGAGTCGTTGTGACCGAAGTCCAGGACCCCGCTCTTGGCCTTGTTGAACCTCACAGAGTTGGCCTCAGCCCATCGATCCGGTCTGTCCAGATCCCTCTGCAGAGCCTTCCTACCCTTGAGCAGTCTGTCCCAGCCTTCCCAGAAACAAAAGGTTTGGGGCACTGCACAAGTCACAGACCATCGCTTGAAAGTTCTTCACTTCTGCGGAGCTCTTAGTATCTCTCCTCAGCCTTATCTGCTTACAGAAACACAGCAGGAGCTGGATGACTATTTCAGCAGTCAGAAGCACCATGCAACAATAAATAGCTGTGCTATTCTTGCTCACAGTCGGTACAGAATCACAGAATCACAGACTGGTAGGGGTTGGCAGGGACCTCTGTGGGTCATCCAGTCCAACCCCCTGCCCAAGCAGGGTCACCCAGAGCAGGCTGCCCAGGGCCGCGTCCAGGCGGGGCTTGAATGTCTCCAGAGAAGGAGACTCCACAGCCTCCCTGGGCAGCTCCGTCACCCTCAGAGGGAAGAAGTTCTTCCTCGTGTTCAGCTGGAACTTCCTCTGCTTCAGTTTGTGCCCATTGCCCCTTGTCCTGTCGCTGGGCACCACTGAAAAGAGTCTGGCCCCGTCCTCCTGACACCCACCCTGCAGATATTTGTAAGCATTTCTAAGGTCCCCTCGCAGCCTTCTCTTCTCCAGGCTGAACAAGCCCAGCTCCCTCAGCCTCTCCTCGTAGGAGAGATGCTCCAGTCCCCTCATCATCCTCGTAGCCCTGCGCTGGACTCTCTCCAGTAGCTCCTCATCTTTCTTGAACTGGGGAGCCCAGAACTGGACACAGCACTGCAGATGGGGCCTCCCCAGGGCAGAGCAGAGGGGGAGGAGAACCTCCCTCAAGCTGCTGGCCACACTCTTCTTGATGCATCCCAGGA